CAAGTATAGGTTCCACATAAGCACAATCAAATGTTCTGGGATTCCCATTCTTCTCATAGACAGCCATAGCTTGTTGTGATCCAAACAGTATCAAATATTTTTGTTTGTAGACTATGCCTATGTCAACTGGTCTTGATGTCAACAAAGACTATGGTCTCTGGATGTAAAACTAACAACTCATTCTCTCAGGATGTTTTTTAGAAGAATCTTTTGGGTTCCTTCTTTCTGGACCTGTAGTCGCCATCATGGGAGTTGACATCCACCACAACAAGGACAGAAAGGTCCAGCACAAGGAGTCCACAGCCAGGACATCTACCTCTGGCTGTTGGTCAAGCTCTACAGGTTCCTGGTCAGACAGACCAACTCCACCTTCAACCAGGTTGTGCTGAAGAGGCTGTTTATGAGCTGCACCAACCAGCCACTACTGTCCCTTTCTCAGATGACCTGAAAGATGAAGCTTCCTGGCCGAGAAAACAAGACGGCTGTGGTGGTTGGGATTATAACAGATGACGTGAGTGTTCCGGAGGTGCCCAGGCTGAAGGTGTGTGCTCTGCGTGTGAGGAGCCAGGCCTGGAGCCGCATCCTCAGGGCTGGAGGCAAGATCCTCACCTTCGACCAGCTGGCCCTGGACTCACCCAAGGGCTGCAGCGCCGTGCTGCTGTCAGGGCCGTGCAAGGGCCGAGAGGTGTACAGGCATTTCGGCAAGGCGCCAGGCACCCCACACAGCCACACCAAACCCTACATCCACTTCAAGGGTGGAAGTTCGAGCGTGTCCGAGGCTGAAGAGCCAGCCACGTCTACAATAAGAACTAATCCAGATCCTGCCCTGTTATTAAAGTCATATTGGGTGTTCCTGGAAAAAAATAATCTTTTAAGGTTTTGGTAGAGAAGAACTCTGGAATACATGTCTTCAGATGAGAAAAAGTGTTTGTTTAAGCATCTTTGATGCTTATTTAGGTCACTTCCTCATCTATACCACAAACCACAGCTGTGGAACACACCCTTTTTCACTTAAAACCTAGACTACATTACACAAATTCTCTATCTAGTTCCGTTATCAAAGGTGAATCAATCTAACACTTTCAAAATCAACTTCCTTAAAAACTAATGAAAAGATTAAAGAAGATCCCAGCACACAAACTCACTCACTGTCTCTCTCTCTCTCTCTCTCCCTCTCTCTCCAAATAGGGATATGGAAATCTTTAAAAACAAATAGACCTGAAAAAAACAAAGTAAACTAACATAAGAGACTCTGAGAAGTTTTTTTGGGGGGGCCTTTTCCACAAAGCTATTTAATGATAGCCTAGTTCTCAAAAGAATCCTAAGTTACACAAATGGTTTGTACTGACTATAAACCATTTATCCAAAGGCTAGTGGTTCAAACCTATCCTGCAGTGCCAAGAAAGAAAGGCTGGCAACCTGTCTCCATAAAGATTATAACCAAAAAATCCTCTCTGAAGAGTTTGGTTCTACTGGATTGCTTTGAGTGGACTCAGGACTCCCTGTTAAGGCAGGTTTGTTTTGGTTTGCCCAAAGCAACAAAAAAAAACGTTCTAGCTCATTTGCCTGAAATTATACCCTTTTCCCCTCTGGTGAATGTTTGTTTTTTCCAGTAGCTGGGAACAGAGATAAGGATTTCCCCGATGGTCCAGGATGGTATTATCTCAGTAGGAGGGATTTGCACTATCATTGTAAAAAACAGTTTCTTATCACTTTATGCCCAGTTTTTCCATCCAGATGGTAAATGATGCCATTTTATTTCTTCATCTGCAAGGCTAGGACAAGATGTCCAGCTTCACAGGATTATGAGAACTTACTGAGAAAAAATGGTAATGATATTGGCAATAAGAATGGTAATGATATTGGCAGCAACAAATGATATTTGAACTTAGTTCAAATTAGTCACCTTTCCCACTCCACTGTAAACTTTGTACTTTCACTTACAATATCCTCTGATTTAAACCACCTCTCATGTTAATGTATGATGAGAGCCTACTCATTTGTTAACTCCAAGGGCTAACTTCAAACAAGTATCAAAGATAATACCAACAGGCCTACTCATAGTTGCAAGAAATCAAGAAGGAACAGAGAAGACAATCTCTGGTTAGAGTATTGGAAGGTAGAACAAGGAAGTTGCTACTGCTCTGGGAGCTCTGGGAGCTGTTAATTTCTAGGGAGCTCTAGTGGCCTAGTGGGTAAGGAGTTGCACTGCCAACCCAAAGGCAAGCAGTTCAAATCCACTGCAGGAAAGAGAGAAGACTTTCAATGAAATAAACTGATACAGTATCTGTGGCAACCGATTCAAGTGAGTCAAGGATAATAAGGATGTGCAGGATAGCATAGACTTCAAATCTGTTCATAGGGTCGCTATGAATCATGCTCGATATGACAACACTTAATAACAACCACCCCCAGAACTCCCTATTATAAATATGTTTTTATATATTATAGATAAACATATCTTATATGTTGATATGCTTTTATATGTTGCTATTGATTGTCATCGAGTCAAGCACAACTCGTAGAGGCTCTATGAACAAAAGGCCTGATGCTTTTCTGTAACTATTGTCACTTATCAAAATTCATAGAGTTTCCAGAGGCAAGTTGTTTAGGAAGTTGATGCCACTCCTGCTTCCAAATCTGTCTTAAACTGGGAGCTCAAGTAAACACTGTCCACTATGGGTAACCGTTATGGCATTTGATACCCCAATGGCACAAGTTTCAGCATCACAGCAACCCCAGGTTACTGGTCAGCATACTTACAGAAGATATTATAGATAAATATATCGCGTAGCTTAAAATCTGAAAAGGTGTGTGTCAGGATTGTACCCTTTCATCGTAGTTATTCTATAGTCAAGAAATTAAATTATTTCCTGCATTGGGCAAATCTGCTGGTACAAATGGCCTCTTTAAAGTATTGTAAAACAAAGATGTTGTTTAAAGAATTAAGGTGCACCTGACCCAACCGGTGTTATTTTCAGTCCCCTCACATACAGGTGTAAACTGGACAACTGATAAAGGAAACTGAAGAGATATTAATACATGTGAATTATGGTGTTAGTGGAGAATATCAAATATACCAGAGATTCATTCCCAGGGGAGAAAATCTGTAGAAGTGTAATCTAAGAATGATTTTTGGAAGCAAAGATGTTGAAATTTAATCTCATATATTCTGGAAATGTTATGAGGAGGGACTAGTCCCTAGAGAAGAACATCTTCCTTGGTAAACTAGAGGATCAGTAAAAAAGAGGAAGACTCTCAATGAAATGGACGGACACAATGACCCAATAATGGGCTCCAACATGGCAGCAACTGTGGAGAGGGGATAGGCCACAGTATTCCATTCTGTGAATTGAGGTGTAACTGTAACATCCACTGTAGATTCTGAAGACTTCATATGAAAGAGAATACAAAATGTCCTATTAAATTTTTTTAATAACCTTGAAATTATAATATTGTTAAATACTAAGGTGGTGGTTGTTAGGTGCCATCAAGTTGATTACAACTCATAGTGACGCTATGAACAACAGATCTGAACCCTGTTCTATCCTGTGCCATCCTCACACTTCTGACACACAAGCGCCCCTTGCAGCAGTGACCATATCAACACACCTGGTTGAGGGTCTTCCTCTCCTTTGTGGACCCTCCACCCTTCCCAGCATCATGTCCCTCTCCAAGGATTAGCCCTTCCTAGCAATATGCCCGAAGTGTATGAGGCAAAGCCTCATCATTCTTGCCTCCCAAGAGCACTCTGGCTGTACCCTTTCCAAGACATATCTCTTTGTTCTTTTGGCCGTCCATGGGATATTCAGTACTCTTCTCCAACTCCACCAAAGGCATCAATTCTTCTGTCATCCTTAGTTGTCCAACTCTAATATGCATAGATGATGAGAAAGACTATGACCTGAATCAGATGCACTTTGGTCAATTGAAACAAATCTGTTAATTTGTTTCAGTTAGGTGCAGCCTTGGATGCACTTACCAGTCTATGCCAGGATATTTGGAGGGCGGTTGTCTGGCCAACAAATTGGAAGAGGTCCATATTAGTTCCCATTCCCAAGAATCCAAATGAACGTGGAAACTATCAAACAATATCTTTGATATCACATGCAAGCAAAATACTGTTGAAGATCATTAAAAAATGGCTAGAACAGTACTTAGATAGGGAACTGCCAGAAATTCAAGCAGGGTTTAGAAGAGGCAGTGGCAACAGGAATATTATTGCTGATGTCAGATGGATCCTGGCTGAAAGTAATGAATACCAGAAGAATGTCTATTTGTGCTTTATTGACTTTCAAAGGCATTTGACTGGGTGGATCATAACAAATTGTGGCTGACATTGAGAAGAAATATTAAGATAAGTAGCATAATTAAAATTAATGTCACTTGTTCTTTTCTCCTTATTATAATGTGGCAACCAGAAACTTTAAAACTATTTTTGTGGCAGTATTACATTTCTACTGGACAACATGGACCTAGAACAGCCTCACCACCCTAGTCAATTATCTAGTATCTCTTTCTAGTCATCCCCTACCTTCACTCCCATAACAGAAAACCCACTACTATCAAGTTGTTTACAATGCATGGTGACCCTCCATTGTGTTTTAGAAGCTATAAATCTTTACAGGAGGAGATTATCTCATCTTTTTCCCTTAGAGCAGCTGGTAGAGTCAAACCACCCAACCTTCTGTTAACAACCTAACACATAAAGCACTGTCCCACCAGGACTCTTCCCCCGCAACTCTCAGCCCCTGTAATAACGGATCTGCTTTTGTCTCTATGGTTTTATTTTTTTTCTGTAATTCATTAAATGGCTCATACAGTACATAGTATTCTATATCTAGATTCTTTCACTAGGCTTTTGAAGTTTATCCTGAACAGTGTATGTGTTGTTCTTTCCATTTCTTCTTATTGTTGCATAGTATTCCTTTTGTCTATCCTAATCCTTAAACCTGCACAAGCTCCTGAATTCTCAAAGGTCCAACTCCAGAAAATTTGTTTATCAGGATCATGACATTAGTCAATGTACTCACATGGTGGAACTGACATCAGGATGGCGGTAGGGAACTCTGAGGTGTTTCCACTGCAGTGGACAATGCAACACCTGTAACTCTTCAGCTGGACAACAAAGCCCTGGGGGTGGGTCTTCATCTTGCTGACTCCAGGTGCTCCAGTGTATGGGACAGACTAGTGAACAATTTCAAGGTCTTTTTTAGCAACAGCAGCTCCCAGGAACAGAGTAGGAACCAAGTAATACCCTAAAGGCTATGGGGAAAGAAAATGATTTGATGATTAAAAGGCAGGCTCCAGGGCCTGTTTTATGTTGATTTAGCCAAGATACTTAAATTATCAGTAGCAAGGGATATGTGCAGCATGACTCCCTTAAAGGTTGATATGAGATTTAAGTAAATCAGTATTGTATTTGGCACATGATAAGCATTATACAAGTATTGCGTATGATCTTAGAGCAGCGATAGAAAGAGCTCACAAAACTGGTCTTTAAAACTTTCTCTTAAAAACCCCCTAGAAGGTCTGACAGGTGATAGATGGGGGTTGTATGGGAGAAATGAGAGACAGAGGCTGTAGAACTGGACCGACTGCGGGTCCTGGATGGTGTGGATTCCTTTCCTAGCACCCGAAATGCTCAGTTTACACGTACCCTCGACATGGTGCAAGGCGATGCTGAAGAAAATGCAAAGAGAGGAAAGTGCTGGCTTTCGGTTCTGCTCCACCCTAGGGGCGGGGGCTGTGGGGGCGTGGGCTTCTTACAAGGAAGTTGTTTCGTCACTTGATGTTGGGGATCGACGGGGATACGCAATCCCAGACCTAGACACCCAGCCCCTCCTTCTCTTGCCGCTTGCAGCCGCCCCGCAAAAGTCACACCAATAGAAACTCACGGTTTATTTCCTTCCGGAAGCTTCTGGCACCCTCCAGTCTGATGTCCTCCAACTTATGGTGAGCTGGGGAGTCGGGAGTGGAATCTGAAGCCTCTGACACTCCAACAGGGTGCACTGTGGACAGGCGGACAGGCGCTGCCCAGTGCTCAGGCCGCGGGGACACAGGGGTGCACGGAAGGTGCTGATTCAGGGAATGGGGGAAGCAGCTCTGAAGAGGGGCCATAGGCAGCTGGTGGATGAGGGATGAAGTCCGTTTTTCAGGCCCAGCGGCAACCTAGCACCTCTTCTGCCCGTCGAGGAACTGGAGAACCGGAAGTTTGTTGGCCAAGGCGGATTCGGCACTGTGTTCCGGGCCCATCATAAGAAATGGGGCATCGATTTAGCGGTCAAGATTGTGAACTCGTGAGTGGCCTGTGACTCTGCTGGGGCCTGCATAGGGAGGGAGGGGATCTCAGGGCCCCTGCAGGTCTTCTAAAGCCCTCTCCTGACTTGCAGAAAGACGCTTTCCCGGGAGGTGAAGGCCATGGCACATCTGCGCAACTCCTATGTGCTGCTGCTCCTAGGAGTCACTGAGAAACTGGACTGGGACGGGGTGTCAGGGCCAGCTTTGGTGGCTCCATTCATGGAGAATGGCTCCCTGTCTGGGCTGCTGCAACCTCATTGCCCTCAACCCTGGCCACTTTTATGCCGCCTCCTGCATCAGATTGTGCTGGGGATGTGTTACCTGCACAGCCTGAACCCGGTACTGCTACACCGAGACCTCAAGCCCTCCAATGTCCTGCTGGACCAAGAGCTGCACGTCAAGGTCAGCCCATTCATACACCAACCCCCATGGAGCCTCTAACAGAGGCTCTGCCCAGTCTTGTCCTGTTGGATATCCTTAGCCTCTAGTTCCAGGATTGTAAAGGAACCAAGACTCACTCAGAACCTTCAGCTCATTCTCTACTAAGAGGCAAAATAAAACCCAGCCACCACCATCAATTCCACAAGCTCATCCAACCAGGCTCTCCAAAGAGCTGTAACCAACGTAGCCCAGGAGACTCTGGCCTTTACCCAGCCTCACTGAGGAGGAAACCCCAGGACCCCTGACACTCATTCCCTCCCTCCTTCGAATCCCCTTTGTAAGGCTAGAGCCTCCTCTGCTAGGAGGAAGGGCACTTCTGGAGGCTGCCTGGCCCCTTTCTGTAACTCCTTCATCTTCCTTCTTTTTTGCAGCTAGCAGATTTTGGCTTGTCAACATTTCAAGGAGAGTCACTGTCAAGGGCAGGGTCCAGTGAGCCAGGAGGCACCCTAAACTACTTGGCTCCAGAGCTGCTGGCTGATGTAAACCAGAGGGCCTCACTGAGCAGTGATGTCTACAGGTGAGATGCCCACCTCAAACACACATCCCAAGTCTCTGCACCTCTCTGGACCTTTCTAAAGGATGTGTGCTATTTGAATAGAGTCGAGTTGCCATTGTTTACCTCAACTTTTTGTTTCCTACAGCTTCGGGATCTTAATGTGGGCAGTGATAGCAGGAAGAGAAGCTGAGAGTAAGACTCTAGGAGGAGCCTGGGATCCATAGGCCAGGGACCCTCTCACTACAAGCCCCAGCCTCCAAACTAACCCTTGCCCCAACCACCACTTCCTGCTTGTCTATTCAGACTGCCCTACTCCGCCTTCACCACTCCTTAGACCATATTCTCTGCCCCTTTCCATATTGCAGAGGTTTCAGCTACTATCTTGAATGCCTTCTCTTTCCTTCCACTGTCAAACTCCTAGTCAAGGTTCAGACATCTCTGCTAAAGATGGCAATACATGATAATCAGGTCCGGCCCCCTCTGTTGGAACTGCCAGAACCTGGGCCCAACACTCCAGGCTTGGAAGGGCTAAAGAAGCTAATGCAGCTCTGTTGGAGTCATAAACCCGAAGACAGGCCCTGTTTTCAGGGTGAGTTGGTCATTTGACAGACAGCTGGACCAGACCTGGGTCTGTCAGCCAAGGGCTGTCAGCCAAGAGCTTTATCCATGAGGAAATGAATTCACCTGCACCCAACTGTGTTGTCTTTCCAGACTGTCAATCAGAAACCTCCAGTGCCTTGTCTCAGGTGCAGAACAAGGTGGATGATGCAGTCATCATGGTGAGCTCCTGCCACTACATACTGGTCAGTGAGAGCACAGCATGGCTCTCCTAACCACCCCAGAAGTCCTCACTGATCACTGTTACGAATGCCTTTACCCTCTCCACTCCCCACCAACCCCTAAGTTCCCAAGCAGTAAGCAGATATAATCCAAAAGACCCAGGATTGTGTCCCACCGTTACTGAACTCTGGCTTTCTCACCTCCATACCTAGCAACTCATCCTGTCCCTACAGGTAAAGAAGTTTCTTTCTGAGCACAAGGGAAGTGATAGAAGGGCGTCTAACTCAGGAAGGACTGAAATGGACGCCCTGTGCTACTGGAATGATTCTGTGCTTTCCAAGAGCCTGAACAGCCTGCACCTGGAGGAAGACCGAAGCCCTATTCCTGAAAAATACAAGAGTCTTGCTGAGAAGACCAAGCAGGGAGAGCAGGTTCAGGATACCAAGATAGCAGCAGCAGCAGCTTCAACTGCCCAACTTCCCAAAACTTCAGAGCCCTCGCCTATCAGGACCCAAATGCCCAACGCCCACTCTGCTTGGGCCTCAAGTCCTGGGACGCAATGGTATCAGGTAACTATTGTTGAGACTAGGGGATGGGTTACAGTGTCTTATGAATCCTGTCTTTTTGCCGTGGAAAACTTGAGGCTGATAAAGTGTGCAGTAGTGAAGCCAGGTCCCTGGACTAGAAGCCTGAGAATTCTGTGTTTGTTTGCAGGGAGTTCATACAAATGGCATGAGCTGGTCCCCCTGGGGCCCAGACCCAAATCCAATATCAGGTACCTACTTCCTACCCTTCCTCCTCCCTGTGTAATTATACCAGCTTCTTCCTCAAACCTGTAGGCTCAGATACGTTGGAGGGGGGGAGGAGGAGATATTAGAGATCATATAATTCAACTTCTTTTAATAAATGGAGAAACTGACACACACACCCCCATGGGGAGAATCATGCTGAGATGCCATGTTGTTGTTATGTGCCATCAAGTCACCTGCTGCTCATAGCAACCCTTTGTACAATAGCTCTGAACCCTGTCCCATGCTGAGCCAGTCTCACTGACTCCAACACATCCACACCCATTACCCTAGTTACTGTGTAAATTCTTGCAAGGCCTAGTCTTCTGACTTCCCACTCCCCCCTACCTGCTCTGTGAGCCCCTCTGGATTCCATTGTTGCTCTATTAATTCAGACAACTTCTTGAGTGAAAGAAGCACAAGTACCAGTGTCTCAAATATCAGTTATCACTGTTCTTAGGTCTCTGTAAAATAGTTCTAGTGGGGCAGCCTGACTCTGAGAAGGCCAGACTCAATACTTGCATTACCCAAGAATGAACACAAGGTGCCGCTGCCTCTCTTAATTTAACTCCTGATTTCTTTTAAAGGCCCGCGATCTATTGTCCTCCATGGGTGCCAGGATGTGCAGATTGGAAACAATAACAACATGACCATAACTAAAAGGCCTGCCCAGCTCACAAAGCGTCCGGCACCTCCTGGCTTGGGCAGGGGCTGGCAGAAACCCCCAGGAGTAGGTTCCAAAGAAGGACCCTGAAGAGCGTGAAGCCTGAAATAGATCATGGGCTGATATAACTGTGGGGCAGTTGGACTAGTGTGAACGGAAGCGCCTTCTAGGCTGTCACTTGCTGCCTCGTGTAGCCACCACTTTCCTGGAATACCAACGATCTGTGCACAAACTGACGTAAATTGTCCCCAGAAAGAACAATGGCAATAAATGTGGTGGATTTTAACTAAAGCAGGAAACTTGAAGCTGATGTGTTCACAAGGGGAGAGGAGATAGTGATGGTGGGTAATTAACCTGGCAGCTAGAGAGGGGGAGGTGGCATTGCTGCCAAAGCCGGAAACCAGGACGATGGGGGCTGCCAGCAGTATGGTCCCCGAGGTCAGGGACCAGACAGCCAGCAGGAAGGAATCTTAAAGGCCTGGCTCCCCAGGCACTCTAATCTCAGGGAGGAGTGTTTCCTCTGGAGCCAGGGGACTGCCACTCCACCCTAAGCTTTAGTTCTGGAGCAGAGACGTGGTTTTGTTGCTCTATCCTTTATTTATGGGCATTAGACACAATGTAGCCCTGGTTGAAGGAGCCTCCATGGGAATTTGCAGACCCTGACCTTTCCCTGCTTTATCCCATGCCCCTTATTCCCTATATTATGCCATATACTCTCCCATCACACACCAGCATGCACATTGTTTCCCAGGTATGAGAACCCTTTGTGTCCCAGTTGGCGTCAGAGTGTGGAATACAAATAACTCCAGACATTTTAGCAGTCATGTTTCCTGGGGAGAGGGGGGCTGTAGGAAGATGGACGGGTCAGTAACAGTGACTGCCAGAAGAGGGGAGAGGAATGAGTGTCCCCCATTCTATCCAGTCCTGACGTGGCACCAGGACCAACATTAGTCCTTACATTGTCCTCAGACTTGGCCCCAGCCCTCTTCTTGTCCACCTGGATCCTTGCATATCAAACCAAAACCTCACTGCCATCAAGTCAATTCTGACTCTTAACAACCCTATAGGACAGAGTAGAACCACTCCATAGGGTTTCCAAGGCTATAAAATACAGAAGCACTTTTCTCCAATGAAGTGGCTGGTGGGTTCAGAGAATCTCTCCAGGGGAGCCTAGTCCCTCATCTTCCTTCCCTCCTCCACCTCTCCTCTGTGGTAGTCACTTTCCCCTTCCTAGAGCAAGCTGAAGAGGTGGTGGTGTTGGGAGAGACAAACAGACAAAGTGAGGGAGGAAGCCAGGGGAGTCGGCTCCGGCTTCAGCACGGGAAGGGGCCGGACTGTCCCGCCAGGGAAGTAGGAGGGGGCCTCGGCGGCGCCGGGAGGGAAGCGCCTGTCGCCGCAGCTCTGATCCACTAGCTTGGGTCTTCGCGGCCTCCCCAGGAACTCCACTTCGCGCTCACCCCGGGCTCCCTGTGGGAAGCCTTGTCGGTTCAGCTGCAGTGGCGCGCTGGGCAGTGAGTCCGGGAGAAGGGACAACCCCGGACTTGTCCACAACCACCCTCAGCCCTGTCTACCGGAGATGAGGCTCGCGCTTGGGCACCTCTGCAGTTCGGGTGCGAGGGAGGAGCAGGAAAGTCTTGGAGAGTTTCCCCACGGCTAGCCGAGAGAGCGCTGGGAAGCCTTAGCTGGTGCCTGGAAGGAGCCAGTTCTGCAGCGAGGTTGTGGACGCGGGCTGGAAGGGCTCGAACCGAGTGAGGGCAGCACAGTTGGGCAGAGCCAGGCGACAGGAGGTACCCTGCGGGCCGGAGCTGGGGCGGGGAGACCATGGCCCGCCTCTTCAGCCCTCCGCCGCCCCCCAGCGAAGACCTCTTCTACGAGACCTACTACAGCCTAAGCCAGCAGTACCCGCTGCTTCTACTGCTGCTGGCGATCGTGCTGTGCGCGCTGGTGGCGTTGCTGGCTGTCGCCGGGGCCAGCGGCAGGGTGAGCGGGGCCTCCAGGGGTTGCGCGCCTCCTCTGGGGCGGCGTCTGTCTGGTGTGGGACGGAGGGAGGGTGACTACCTAGAGGGTATTTTCGGGGCTGGGATTTATGACATTTTCTTCTCCTTGCGTTTCCTTTACCCGGAGTTGTGAGCATGGTTTTATGCCTTTCCACGAACCTGGGGTGACTCCGAGCAAGGAACTCAATGTCTGGGGGCTGCAGTCTCTGGGTCTGCACCGGAAAGTAGCTGACCCCTGTATGCTTTCTCCAGGTCAGACCTCGGAGCTTCTAGGATCTTCTTGTTCTACTTTAAATCCAACACTGGATTTTTACATTTTCCAGCCGCAGGGGGTGTGGAGAGGGGTTGGGGGGAAATTCCATAAGGGCCCCAGGGAATTAATTTCCTGGCTTTCTCTCCCTCTTAGGTCCTGTGAGGTAGTTGTACCCTCAAACTCATAAACGGTTCCCTTCCTTTGGCTTTTATTTCAGTCCTCAAATAAATTATTTCCAATTTCTTTTTTGGTTGTGTGTGTGTGGAAGAGTGTAGAAGAAAGTTTTCAAATATATTTCTAGAAATAGGAAAAAAGGAGGGAAAAGTCTTCGGGATTGTCAATCTTGCTGGTCCAGCATGAAGTCCGGGAAAGGGTGGGGACAAAGGGCAGGAACTAAGATGCCAGAGATGAGGCAAGTGGCTGGCGCCCCGGCGAGCGCCTGGAGCAGGGAGCCCGGCGCCCCCTGCTGCCCGAACACTGTATCTAATGGCTCCCTGCGCTCCCCAGGCCTTGAGCTCCTCTGGGGCAAATTGGCCACACTTGCAGACACTATTCCCAAGAGCCTTCCAGTGAGCTTCGATCTTTTTCACTCACTTCAGAGACCCAGCTTTCCACTGGAAAAATGAGAAACCGAGGCTCTGAAAGGTCAGGGGCTTGGTAAATGAGCAGGTCTTCTGGGTCCTTCCCTGGAATGACCAGGTCTTCCCTGGGTCCTTGCCTGGGGTGGGCCCAGCCACAACTGCTGAGACAAGCAAGTGTGATATTAGCTTAAAACCCTATGAAATTACCTTCCCTGTGGTTACAAACGAGCATCAGGAGTTTCATAATATGAATGTCAAGGGATACACCTCTTATCTAGTTTACTCCCCTTTACCTCGAACGAACTCCCCAAAAACCCCGCACAGACATTTCCTAACGCTCTGTCTGCCCTCAGGAGGTGGCCTCGGATCCTGGCTTCCTGACCACGGTGCTGTGCGCACTGGGCGGCTTCTCGCTGCTGCTGGGCCTGGCTTCCCGCGAACAGCGCCTGCAGCGCTGGACGCGTCCCCTGTCGGTCCTGGTGTGGGTCTCGCTGCTCGCTCTAGGCCATGGCTTCTTATTCACTGGGGGCGTGGTCAGTGCCTGGGACCAGGTGAGAGGTGTGAGGAGGGGCAGCTACTTGGGTGGGGGCACAGGAAGAGGAGTGTGCAGGGGCTTCAAACCCGCACACCTGTCATGAGTCTGCTGCGTTCCTTAGCCTGCTGCCTCCGGGTCTCTTCGCCCTCCACCCCCCAGGTATCCTTCTTCCTCTTCGTCATCTTCACAGTGTACGCGATGTTGCCTCTGGGCATGCGGGATGCCGCTGCGGCGGGCCTCACCTCGTCACTTTCGCACCTGCTTGTCCTCGGACTATACCTTGGGCCACAGCCGGATTCGCGCCCAGCACTGCTGCCCCAGGTGAGCACGCACATGGCACAGGCGGAGCTCTGGGCCCACCCCGCTGCACTCTACTTGGTTCTTCAAATGTTGGCTGAGCTCTGACTCCAAAGTCAGCGCAGGGCGCTGGCTATAAATATCAAGGTATTATACTTGGGACGTCTGGTAGCTCCTGAGCGTGTCCACGCGCAGTTCAAGGATCAGTGCAGTGTGATGCCTGCTGACACCAGAAGAGGGCTCTATGCGCAAGTGGAAAGGAGATGTGGTGACTCGTTCCCTGGGTTCCTGGATGATGGAGACAGATGTGGATGTTGGAACCTTCACATAGCATGTAAAATGTGGCCTTGAGTGGTTTATCCGACTGGTCTGTGAAGGAATGATGATCGTAAAGTGGTGTTCCAGGCAAGGGGAGCAGCACACGCAAAGGTTTCTACAATTAAGAGTTCGTTCTTACCAGTGCAGCAACAGAGTCTGGAGAAGGCAAGACTGATGTGCTGTTTCTAAGTACTTAGGTCCCTAATATAGAGGCCAGTGATCCCCCACTCCCCCCCCACCCCGACTCAGCGGCACGTATAGCACCCTCACCCCCAGCAGCGTCTGGCACCCTCTGAGGCCAGTCCTCACCCACAGCTGGCAGCAAATGCGGTGCTGTTCCTGTGTGGGAACGTGGCCGGAGCGTACCACAAGGCGCTGATGGAGCGAGCGCTGCGCGCCACCTTCCGGGAAGCGCTCAGCTCCCTGCATTCCCGCAGGCGGCTGGACACCGAGAAGAAACACCAGGTCAGTGGGCCCGGGAGGCGGGGCAACGCAGGAAGTGTTTAAGTACACAAGTGGACGTGTTTCACAAGCGAACTTTGGGCAAGCCACTGCACCTTGTCTTTCACTTGCGAAATGTGGCTTTTGCCCACTTTGGAAGGTTTTTCTGTGACATGAAAAAACCCCAAACAACACCACCTCAAAAAAGTGGAAAGCTTTAGAACGTTAGGATACTAAATGAAAGACTACTTTATGCAAAAAGCTGGGAGCACAGTCCCTCAACCTTACCGACTGCCAATAGGAAGGAGCAGTTGTGTTGCTTATTGAGAGCATCTGTTGGAGGTGGGGCAATGTGTGGACTGGCTCCTTTCAGGGACTGGGGTTCCTGGCTGTAGGATACGTAATGTTCTCCTCCAGGAACACCTTCTCTTGTCTATCCTCCCCGCCTACCTGGCCCGAGAGATGAAGGCAGAGGTCATGACTCGACTGCAGGCTGGACAGGGATCACGTCCAGAAGGCACCAACAACTTCCACAGCCTCTATGTCAAGAGGCACCAGGGAGTCAGGTATAAGGAAGGATGGGTGGAGGGGAAGAGACTGCAGAACCCTCTCCCAGTGACACAGTGTTTTCCCCAGTGTGCTATATGCTGATATTGTGGGCTTCACGC